AAGCTGTCATCTTTAGCCTAGAAAAGCAGCTAACTATGATCCCCAAATATCCAAGAAAAACATTAGACTTTGACCATGTGGTTTAAATTAAAACAAAAGCTGAGAGAGAATATGGCAATAATATTTCATCAGCTAAAACAAAAATTGCTAGGCACCATGGGGAATACAGAGTTTTTTCTAAATCTTCGTTCAATAGTACAGTAATTATGTCACTAATCATGAAGTATTTTAAAGTTTTAGGAGGGCTGGCAAACATTGTTGGGAATGTTTTATACCTGCGCTGTCTGATAAAGTAGCCACTTAGCTACAGGTGGCGGCTGAGCACCTGAAATATGACTGGTGTCAAGGAACTGAATCTTTAATCCTAGTTTATTTTAACCAATTTAAATAGCCACACGTGGCTAGTCGCTACAGTATCAGAGCTGGTTTAGAACTCCTTCATCTATTTCTTCTGATCCCCAACAACTACCTTGCAAATTAACTGAGAGTGGTTGTGGGTAATAGAAGGATTAGAGCACTAGAAACTTTCATTCCATCTGCACATTATACTACTTGAATTTTAATTTCAAGAGTATATGTTACTTGTATTAATTAAACATATTTTTAATTTTAAAAGTAATTAATACGCCACATAGAAAAATTAGGAAATACAGAGAGAACAAAATAAAAATAATCTATAAATCCATCTTTAAGAAATAATCTATAATTAACATATACTCATATATGAAGATCTAGATTTTTAACCCTTTTGTTAGAAGTAGCACAATGGCCCAAGTTACTCTGAGTTTTATCCTTCCCACCCCCATCTCCAAACACCTTGGAAATCCTTTTAGACAGCCACTATCTCTAGAACTCAACCTTGAAACTGCAAAAAATAAACATAGTCCACTCACCTTTCTCCCTTTATTACTGTCACCCTTTGCCACTAATGTCACACATTTTAGATGAGAATATGGCAAAGATATTGTCCTATTTTCACAAAAGATTAGAGCAATTTCCAGTAACACCTGCCTATGACCATCGTAAGACAAAGGTTTAGAAGTCACGGAGGAGAATCAGAGACAGAAGAAAGAGAAAAGGAATAAAGGAAAAAGAAAATATATACTTTTGCAGAGAACAGCTGAAAATCTGCAAGAGGTATTCAGTGACTTCCATGTCTGCCTAAAGCTAGTAGACCAAAGACAACAAGATTAGTTTCAGATTCTTTCATTCTATAGTCTTTTTCCATGCATACTAGAACTATTGCTGCTGCCTAGTTTTAGACTGTCATGGTCCCTAAATCATCCCCTTTCACTATGTAGAATTACTCTTTCCAGTCTGTACATACATTGTTAGTTTTTTCATTACATACCCATATTATCTTAAATTCCCTGTTGAATTTATTATTCCTTTCTCCATCCTGAATATTCCTTTCTTCATCCCAAATTTGTCATTCTCAAATGTATTTATACCTCCAGAATCTTACAAAGCCAAGTTTATTTCTTAAAACCTTTTTCTCATTTCCCATTCTTCATGTCATAAACGCATACACACTCCACACAGACACAGAGTTATATCCATCCTGATGGTAAAACTCTACCAAGTAACACTACAGAAGCTTTCTCCAAGTTCATTTCTTTTTGTCATACTTTTAGGTATGACATTCAACAAGGTGTTCACCTACTGAAGATTAATAAAGGAAAAGATATTCTTTTCTTAACAGCTGATAGAGAGTAAGGTGAGATATCCCAAAGTCACACCAAAAACAATGTACATGGCAGAAGCAGTCTAGAGTAGTAGTTAAGAGTTCGGTCTGGAGTCAAACAACCTAGGTTCAATCCTGGCTCCACCAGTGTAATTTTGAGCACATTACTTTGGCCTCAGTTAATCGTTTAGTTTCAGTCTTCATCTATAAAAACGGGGATTTTAGCCACCCTGGAAAAGTTGCTGTGAGGATTAGATGCGATAACCGCATAAAGCAATTAGCATAAGGCCTGGCACACAGTAGGCAAACAAACGTTAACTGTTGGTATGGTGTTGGCTATAACCTACCTTCTGACTGTTATTACCTTTTTAGAAACAAACTAATTTAGCATACCCCTCTCTTTATAAAAATATGTTTTCTACTCCCCCAAGTGAGGATGTTAGACAGCAGGAAGTCCTTTTACTTTGTGAGAAGAATCTGGTTGCTCTACATGTCTCTTCAAGTTCTAACATTCTATGAAACAAGTGTCAAACATTTTAGAACTTCAACTCTCAACCAATAAACACTTCGCAACCAAATCGATAAGTTCAAGTACACACTAAACTCGTACTACATTTGGAGGGACACTGATTTTTTACATGAAAGAATAATCATTAAAATACCTAATATAGAATAGAGGGAAAGGGGTTGACTAGATAAGCAGCAACATACCAAAAGTTTATGAAACACGCTGCTAAACCATCTTATTTGCCATTCCTAGCAAAGCCAAAGTCCAACGTAATGCCTCAAGTGAAAAACAAGAAAATGAAAGCACAAGATAACCAAAACTTAACTTTTTTATTCCGAATGTACCAAGTAGGATGGTGATATTTAATATGTATTAAATATTAACAAACACATTAATTTATAAATCCAATAGACTTCCACAGCATTGGCCACAAACAGCCATCCCTAAAAAGAAACCTCAAAACCACAATCAGGAACTATGTTAAGCAGGCAGTCTTACTTCCTTCTCTAGGTCTAGGAAGGAATTTAGAAACACACGTTTTAAAGTAGTTAAGTAAGAGATTTCAATTTAAAGCTAGAATCTCTGCATTCTACTCTCCCAATACAAGCTCTTCACTGTTTGAAAAATTAACAGCTCCACAAAAAAAGTTGTCATTAACTTGAACAAGACACTAAGGAGTAGTTTTTAATCTAACTAGAGGTTACATATCTTCTTTGAGAATTTGATTTTTTTAATGGACAATCACCCCAAATCCCCCTCCCTCAAATGCACTCAAACAAAACTCTGCACATAATTTAAAAGATGGGAATGAGGAAGACCCCTGAAAGTTAAGACTTTTTAGAACATGTACATCAAGGTAACCCATGATTAAGGCAAACTAATTTATCAATTTGAAAAGGAATGAAAGTAACTGAGGCAGAGATTTTAATACAAAAAGTAAAATTAGAAATATTTTCTATTTTCTCAGGGAATGAGCCTTAGACCTGATGGTCAGGAGAGGAAGTTGGTCATGTTGAGCAAGGAAAACAAAAAAAAGTACGGTTAAAGCAGTACAAACACACAGTCCATTGTAGTCACTCTAAGATAGCAGCAATGAAATGGCCTGCAGCCTTAACATAAGACTGTTTTAACACAACCAACTCTGGTGCACATTTCTATGCCAATGAAGTGAATTAAATGGCTAAGGGTAGCACACGCCTGTAGGTCAAAGCACAAGTTTATGAACAGTCCTGTAAATATTCCATTTTTCCTCATCAGTGAGAACCGCATTAGATGGAGCGCCTGGGTGGCTAAGCCGGTTAGGCATCCAACTCTTGGTGTGACTCAAGTCATGATCTCGCTGCGGTGGGATAGAGCCCGGAGTCCGGCTCTGAGCCTGGAGCCTGTTTGAGATACTCGCTCTCCCTTTCTCTTTGCCCCTCCCCCACTCGTGCTCTTTCTCTCCCTCTCTCCCTCTCTCTCTCTCTAAGGTAAACAGAAACTTGAAAAAGAAAAAAGAACCACGTAAAAGAAATCATGTACTTCAATCTAGGAGAAAACAAGGGGAAGGAACAGAAATCCTAGCAGGGGGTGGCTTAAGGATCTGTGGGAAGTGTAAGCTATAAACTTTTTGACATCTTTGGGTACAAAAGGGAGATGAAAGCAAAACAAAGGAAGCAATAAAGTAAAAAGGAAAAGCGTCTAGAAGCTGCTCTTTAAAAAACAAAACAAAAACCTTTCCTTTTCCTAGACACGTAAACAGTAACTTGGCAAAAAGGAACGGATGAGAAGACGACAGCACGACTTCCTTCCCAAGCGCCAGCATTCCTTGGCCGTCCTCACAAGCACAGTCAGACTTGGGACACTACTTGGGCAAGGCTCCTCCCTGCACCACTGCCCTGTGAACCTCTTGGAGGGACTACCACTCTCTCCATTCCTCTCACTGCGGAAGAGAGGAAGTAAGGGATGCAGTGAGCGGAGAAGGAAAATAAAGACTGGACACCCAACCTAAAGGTGGCCCACCCCGAGACTTAGTCGAGAAAGCCCTGGATCCTGCCGCCGCCTCTCCCACCTAATGCATGCAAAGAGAGGGCGCAGCCCTGCAAGGGCCAGTCCTTCCCTTTCCACTGGCTGTTTCCGGGACACCGGGGGTCGGGGCAGAAACCAAATGCCGAATCCTTGGGCAGATATGACACAGACTAGGGACAGAAGTGTCTAGTGAAAGTCTGGAATGGCAAGCTCCACAGGAGCAACGTGTCCACCCCCGCCAACTACCTCAGACCAGCCTTCCTCCCCGCCCCCCTCTTCTTTCCCGGCGGGCCAGCTCCGCCCTCACCTGTCTGCGGCGAACCCAGCAGCTCTCACGTCGAGGATTATCCTTGCCGCTGCTCTCCGGAGTAGCCTCAAACCTGGCAAGGAGTGAGCGGAAACGCGACCTGGGCCTTTTTCTTCTTCCCCTCCCCCCACGCACCTCGGATCCTCGGGGGCGGGGAACAAATGCAGCTGTCACAGCCTCACACTGACCAACCGCCGAGGACACTCAAACCGGCTGCCTCTTAACCCGGCCTGCAGCACCAGCACAGAGAGCAGCGGAGCCGGAAGTGAGGAGACCGGAAGTAGCGTTGCCCTTGGCCCTGGACGGCCTCTCTCTCTCGATCTGGCCCGCCCCATCCACATCTCGGTGGTGCCAGCGCGCCTCCCTCGAGGCCTCCTCCGCCCCACTCCAGGAGGCTGGCCCCGCCCCTCCCGTTGCGGCCCTAGCAACCACATCCGGGGCTCCGCCGGCGCCGTTGCCCGGGTAATTTTCTGGCTGCGGCCGGATCGCAGAGGGGTGTGCGCGCTGGTCCCGATGCACCTGCCAAAGCTGGGAGCTTGCGGAAGGGCGTGCGGGCCTGGTCTTGAGTGGTCGGAGGTCTCCAGGAGCCCTCAGCATCCCTTCTTTCTTACTCATACACCCCAGCCTCACGCGTTAGGCGTTCCCCCAGCAGACGGTGAGCCAGCGGCGGGAGGGTGGAGGTGGACGTAGCTCGCCGCCAGGCATACTAGAGGAGAACTAAAGCTTCTTTCTCATCTGCGGGAGAGCACGTAGAAGGTTGTTTCAATCCCGCGGCGGGTGGGAAGGTGGAGGGAATGCGGGGTTAAGGGAACAGACGGGATGCGGGCTCCTCACCCTCGCTTCCCCAGTGCCTGGAGCGCCCCACTCCGGCCGCGTCACTCACGCCCACTCACTTTAGGAAGACCAGACCCCCAAGCCTGGCATCCCCGAGCTCTGGTCACTTGCTGTTATTGTGATCACTTTCTGCACTGCTCGCTCGCTGACGGTGGATCCCGGATACTTTTCTTTCCTGCTCCTCTTTATCCACATGACTGATTTCTGCTTTATTTGCCCATCCCATTTGTTCTTCAGTAGATCACTGTCCTCCCTGCGCAAAACAATCCTTTTCCTCAGAGCCCTTTGTAGTTTACTAAGTTGAGACCCCAACCTGTATTGTGGAACTCTCCCCATCCCCGGCATTGATTGGAGGGAATGTATGGCTTTGCAGTGGTGCACATACCTGAAGCTTATTTGCCTACAGTACTTACAGTTGATCCACCCACATGCATCCCCCCCCCTTCAAGGTTCTGAACTGCATTTCCTTTGACAGCCGTGGGTGCTCATTTTTACCGCCATTCACTTGTAGAAATGCGAAGGGTAACAGTGCATTCCGTGGGTTTTACCATTCTTTCGACCGTATTTCTTACCTCCTTTATTTGTCGTCTTCGTTGATACATTTTTAATGGCTAAGTGCCCGAAGACAGAATTCTGCCTTTACAAATTCTAGGGAGTTTCAGCATAGTGAATCGTATATCCCTGTGCAAATGCCGTACCCATATCCATGAATAGTAAATACCCACGACAACACAAATGTTTCGGAAGTAACCAACAATAATTATTACCGAGATCTCCAGGACACTTGCTCTGATAAAAACAATGCTCAAGTCCAAAAACATAAATCTACGTAGAAAGGACCTTTCTCTTAAGTGGCTCTGCCCCCTAGAAAAGAGCAAATGTATATGTCAGTTCACTCAAACTGTAACTTCAGTTCTGTAGCCCACTGTGGATTTTTACTGTTTAGAGCCATCCTGTTAGTCTTTTCAATTGTAAGAAAAGGGTCTCTCAATCTAGAATAATTACTGCTGTTCTTGTATAGGAACAGAATGGAACATAGTAGCAAAGTACAAGTATTCTTAGATTTCCAGAAGGGTGGCTAGGAAGAGGTGCATGACAGTGCTCACTGGTGCTTGAATGACCTGTACTGAGTTTGTGGGTGCCTTAAGGATTCCCGCCAGGTGTCTCGAGTTCGGGAATGCTTAGCTTCATTAAAGTCCATCTAACTACTAAATTGTTAGGCTCAGAGGTGGGTGGATGCTTGCTTTAATTATTTGTCCTTAGCTGAATAGTTTCCTTGGCAACTGCTGGCTGTTTTGCTAGAGGTTCTGATGGACTTGGAACCGCTTGGAACTCCTGCTAATTTCTGTTTAGTGAAGGTGCTGTTAATCATGTTAGGTACTCTAGTCAGTACATTTCTGGTACTGTGCATGATTAGTCCTCATTCATAGTGCAAGGCCACACACAGGATTAATCTTCCCGTGATTTCTGCTGCCCCAAGGGAAATTAGAATGTAGGTTGGCTTGAAGAAAACACTGGAAGCTACTTCAGCTGGTGATGGAAGATGGTGAAATTCTATGAACTTTATTTTAGAATAAAGAATCAGAAGCTGATGTTTTTTGATTGGGGGAAACTTTTGAATCTAACAGAAAGATCTTATTTTGAATCTAACCCTGCTTAGATAGAGACCTTCCTTCCTTCCTTTCTTTCTCTCTTTCTTTTCTCTCTCTCTCTTTTTCTCTGCCCTAGAGTTTGGGGAATTCTGCCTGCCCATTCTCTTTAGGAAGAATAGAAGATTACTACTTTTCTCTAAATTGACATCTATGTTTCAAGAGGTAAGAAAAAAGGTAATAGTCTGCCATGTCTGCCTGTGATATGGGGATTATCTATTCATTTACCTTTGTACTGCTATTGGCCATTATTCAGCTTTTGAAAAATCAGGTTCCGTTTTTTCACTTGGCTTATGGAGAACTCCGACAGCCTGTATTTCATTTATTGACCAGGAAGGAAATAGGGTAGGTAACAGGTTAACAAATATTATTCCTTTCTGAATGAATTAAATGTGCACACAACTTTTTTCTTTGCTTTAGATGTTGAATACTGTATATTGTTTACAAATATTATTTTCTCAAAAGAAAGTAAGAGGCACTACCTTCAAATCTTTTCTAGGGGGATTCTCATAATGTCACAATAGTGTTATCATTTCATCAGCTCCCTTTTCATGGAGACATATTTAGTTAATGATTGCACAGTGTAATTCTCTGGAAATAAACCCTCTGTTAGAGGATACTGATAATTGGAATATGTAAAGAAGCCTGTGAATAGTAGTATGAGTAGGACGTCAGAGTAGAAATTGTTTTAACTACAAAGAGAAAAAAACTGGAGTTATCCATAATTCCATTATCTAGAATTAACATAGAACATTTTGTCAATTTTTTCTATAAATATATATTTTTTCTACATTTATTCAACAAGTTATTTGGAACCTACTGTTTCCTGGGTACTAACCATGGTAGGAAGAGCCATGAGCCCCTGCCCTCATGTAACTTTCAGTATATGTTAGTTTTGTGGGCATACAGTTTTGTATTTTGCTTTCTTCACTTAATAGATCATGGAATTTTCTTCCTCATTAAATACTCTCCTTCAGTGGCTTAGTAGTATTTTAGTATATATATTTCTTAATTTGTTTACCTAATCCTTTTTGCTACACATTTGGGTTCTTTCCCGTTTTGTCTGTCATCATAACAACAGTGGGAGGAATATCATTGTATGGTAAAATTCTATGACTTCCAGTGATTCTCACTTTGTAGAATTCCCTCCTATTTGAACATGGTAGGATATCATTCCCATCGTAATGTTCTATTACATGTACAAGGGATTTTGCTGAAGCAACCAGTTGACTTTAAGTTAATCAACAGAGAGATAATCTGGATGGGCCTAAACTGATGCATGAGTCTTTTAAGAGCAGAGATTTTTCTCCTGCTGGTTGCACCAGAGAAGGCAGAGAGATTCGAAGCATGACAGAGATTTGACAGGAGAAAGGTTCTCTATTGCTGAAATGAAAAGGGCCACAGTCGAGGACCTGAAGGAGGCTTTCAGGAGCTGAAGGCAGTCTCTGAGGACAGGCATCCAAAACTCAGGGACCTCAGTTCTACAGCCTCAAGAAGTTGAATTCTTGTGCAAATAACCTGAATGAACTTGCAAGCACATCTTCTGTAGAACCTCCAGATAAAAGTCCTATTTGATTAACATCTTGATTTCTGCCTTGTGAAATCCTAAGCAGAGGACCCAGGTGAGCTCACCTGGACTTCTGACCTGCAGAACTATGAGATAATAAGTGGGTATTGTTTTAAGCTACTAAATGCAGCAATAGGAAATTAATACCTTTGTTAACTAGGTTGTTTTTACATCTACAGTCATTCTTTGGAGATAAAATCCTAGGTATGAACTTGCTGGATAAAGGTGATACACAGTTTTTAGGTTTTTGTATCATATTACTAATTTGCCCTTTGTAAGCTTTGTACCAATTTATATACCCCTTCACAGCCTATGTTATATTCTGGCAAACACTAGATACTTCCATTCTGGTAGGCAAAAACAAAAAAAGTATCTCCTGGTTTGAAAGATTTACATCTCTCTTATTACCAGTAGAACTGACTATTGTTTTCTTTACTTGGAGTTCAATTGGTAAGTCTTTTTTAGTGAATTGCCAGTTCTTTTTCTTCAGTTAGCTTTACCATTGACATAGAGAAAATAGTATCTAACATGTACAGTATTTTTCTACTGTAGTATTTTCAAGAAGTAGAATGATTAATGAGCATAATTGAGAGAATGGGTACTTCTGAGAAATATTAGCTACTGCCATTACTCCCTGCAAGAACTATCCCAGCCATTATACTGTGGGAGAATGGAAAATGTTAGCTTCACTGGTTAAGCAGTATTGTTGTCTTATTCTCTTCTAGGGAAAAAGTCTGGCTTGTCTGGCTTGGCATCAGAAATGTGGTTGTTTCAGGAAAAAAGGTATATTTGTGTATTACCATGGAAAATCATAGGTTTCACTACTGTTTTAGAAGGAAATATATACCATTAACTCTCAGAAAACAACTAATACCTTTCTAAATAAACATCATTACTTTCAATCTGATCAAGAAAATCACTAATTTCTGTGTATATTATATTGTTTTATTTGAGAGGGAGTAAGGGAGGAAATTCAAATTACTTTTTCTGTAATTCTTGTTATTTGAGATGATAGGGTTTATTTCTGACAAATGAAATAAGGCAGAAGGAAAAAAGGAAGGAAAGAAAAGAAGAAAGAAGGAAGGGAGAAGTTGAGAGAGTACCTTTTTCTCTTGGAGAGTAGTCTTGTGTAGTTTTGTCTTAAAAAATTGGTTCTTGCTACCTCAATTTCTGAAGGTTGGTATCTTCCTAATAAGAGCAAGATATTTAAAAATGTTTATTTTGAGGGTTACCTGTGTGGCTCAGTCTGTTGAGCATCTGACTCTTGACTTCAGCTCAGGTCATGATCCCATGGTCACAGGCTCGAGCCCCTATGTCAGCCTTCACACTCAGTGCAGAGCTTAAGATTAGCTCTTAAGAGAGTTTAAGATTCTCTCTCCCTCTCTCTTTCCCTCTCCCTCCCTCTCCCACTCATACGCTCTCTCTAAAATAAAATTTAAAAATTTTTAAAAAAATATTTATTTTGAAATAATTGTAGATTTACAGGAAATTGCAGAAAAATATACAAGGAGATCCCATATATGAGCAAGTTTTTGTTTGTTTGTTTTAGTTGAATGCTCAAAGCTTATTTTCTCAGAAAGGTCAGCCCACTCTGCCAGTGGGATATGGTTGCTGTTTATGTTCACAGAATTCATAAAGGCTTATTCTTCTGTAGAGGCTTGATGTTGCTTTATTGTTGTTGTTGTCAGGTTTGGGTAGGCATTGCAAATGCTGCTTTGGCGTGGTGCTGGGGACACAGAGTGTACAACTATTATCAAAGGAGGCCACACCAGTGTGATTCAAAGACACTGTAATATAGTGAAAAGAATGGTAGACTTCACATTAGAAAGCCTGGGTTCTGGACTTCGCTCAACCACATTATAACTATGTGAGCTTTGAAACTCAGTTTTATCTTCCTCCTGAGTTGTTTGGAATACAGGAAGTAAAGGTGTTTGGAAAATAAAGCCCTGGGCCATCACAATTATTATTAAGGCCTTTTTACAATAACAGTAACAACAACAGCAAAACTCCTTTATTCGTTGTAAGTCCTATGATAAAAATTACTTCTTTTAGACAGCAAAGGCAGAGGAATTTTGACAAAAAGTTTTCTCAAAAAAATTTGTGCAAAAACAGAATATGACATCTTGAAACCTGGGAGAAGAGACAGTCTAGAGGAGTGGAGTGCCCACACTATATCACACAGTAGTAACACCTGCTCATCAAATGAGCTTGTCACCTTGGCCTGCAGTAGGCCCAAAGTTTGTAGATTCTGGTACAGTAGGTGCTACCTGGGAAGGGAGGAGCAAACTTATCTGGTCCATGTGACTGTTCTCACAGTACTGTTTGATTTGAGATCTCTGCTTTCAGTATACATTTAAGGTAGGATTCTTGCTTCAGTTTGCAAGTAGGATTTTGTAAACTCTTTGAATTGTGTAGATTGGCACAACCAAAGGGATGTTAGAGAGAAAATCATGATGACAAGATCATGACCAGACATTCACCATTCACTCTGTAAGGTGCTAAAACACTGTGCTGAGCACTTTACACTCTCTGGTTGAATCTCATTGCATGTGCAATGACCCTATTTGGTAGGGGCTGTAGTTACACCTATTTTACAAATAAGGAAGCTGAAGCTTCACATAGTTAAGTAATCTCCCTAGGATCCCGTATGTACTAAATGGCAGAATCACTTGTCAACACAGGTGTGGCCTGCACGGAAGCCCATATCCTTACACTGCAATAAGCTCTTTACAGATAAGGAAGTGGATGTCCTGGGTTGTGAAGTAAGACTCATGGTCACTCTCCTTCTTACTCTTAGTCTAGGTCTTTTTCTGCATTATATCCTCTTAAGAATTTGCTTGTTCCTATGCATTTTGTCAACTATATCTGGCCTCTGTGCATCTGGCTAATGTGTCAAAGTGATACAAAAGTTACTGGGTTTGTAAGCATTTAGATTAAAAAAAGATTTTTAAAATTTGTAATAGAATCACTTGTTTTGATTTTTAGCAAAGCCTTTTATATCAGTCTCCTATAAAGGAGACACTGTCTCCCATGTGCTATTAAAAGTTGAACCTTGTGACTACTGTCTATGTTTTTCTTTTAGCGGAGTCAGAGGGGGCAGGCTATGACTTCATGTGAAAAATAGCCACCAAAGATCTCTCCAGCATAATTTTTAGTTTTTTAATTTTGGTAAGTGCCCATTTTCAAAACAGATTAAGTTTGTCTGAATTATTTCGGAAGTATATATTACAAAGCATCCAAAAGCAAGTGAGAATTCAAATGCATAGAGCAGAGCTACAGGGCTTTTACTGAGGCCGTTTAGGAGGTAAGCATTTCTTCTGGAAGCTTTGGTTATTATATTTTCAGAAACATGATCCCATTCTTTTCATTATTATTAAAAGCATAACTAATTAGTACAAATGTCCTTTCTGATATTCAATTGATACATCATTGCTAAAATAGCTTTTTTCTTTTTTCTTTCTTTTTTTTTTTTTTTTCAGAGGCAGAAGATATACCATCAGGTCCTAGAAGGATTCTACCACTTTCTCCTCCACCCTGAAGAGACTTGGAAATTAATGGGTAACATTTTGCATGAAAATTACTGAATGCTTTTCCTTCTTATCTCTGAGGCCTTCTGTGGAGAATTAATAAGAGATTGAGTGTGCATGGATAAAATGGATCATCTTAAAGGATTGAAGTTCCAAAAATATATCGGCAGGACTGGACAGGTTTGACATAATGAGATTTCTATTTTAGCTTGACTTCTGGAACTCTGAATAAACTATAAACTGAGCCGCACAGGTCCTGGGAAGGAAGTTTCTCTTCTAAAATATTCTAGCTGCACATAACGTTTTTCGTATTCAGAACCTTTGAAAACATATATTTACTTCTCAATTTCCTGAGAAGACTAAGAGACACTCGCCAACTTTTAATATATGAAGCGAGATAGAAAGCAGCAATTTGTATCATTTTGGAAAAGAAATTTAAAGAAACAGACACCAGAAAGACGAGGAATCTCTACATAAGCACTGGTTGACATGGCAGAAGCTTCTGTGGATGCCTCGACTCTGCCCGTAACGGTGAAGAAAAAGAAAAGTTTATCCATTGAAGAAAAGATTGACATTATAAACGCAGTAGAAAGTGGCAAGAAAAAGGCAGAAATTGCCGCTGAATATGGAATAAAGAAAAATTCATTGTCTTCTATTATGAAGAATAAAGACAAAGTTCTAGAAGCCTTTGAATCTCTGAGATTTGATCCAAAGAGAAAAAGACTGAGAACTGCTTTTTACACAGATCTGGAAGAGGCATTAATGAGGTGGTATCGAATTGCTCAGTGTCTAAATGTACCAGTTAATGGTCCAATGTTGCGTCTAAAAGCTAATGATTTTGCACAGAAACTGGGACATAATGATTTTAAGTGCAGTAATGGTTGGCTGGATCGCTTTAAATCCAGGTACGGTTTAGTATTCAGAGCTCAACCTGTAGAAGCTACAGGTGTATCGGTAGACCCTTCAACTGTCTGGCACCAAAATGTACTTCCTTATTATTTAAACGATTATCATCCTAACAACGTCTTTAATATAAAAGAGACTGGGCTACTTTATCGAATGTTACCTACAAATACATTTGCATTTAAGGGAGAAACGTGCTCAATTGGAAAATTATGCAAAGACAGAATAACTCTAGTGGTTGGGACAAACATGGATGGGTCAGAGAAACTTCCTTTGCTTATCATTGGAAAACACAGAAATCCACATTGTTTCAAAGGTATAAAATCATTGCCTGTGTGTTATGAAGCTAACAGAATGGCATGGATGACCTCAGAGGTGTTTGAACAATGGATGCGGAAGCTCGATGAGAAATTTCAAGCCCAGCAACGAAGAGTGGTGATCTTTGTTGATTCTTTTCCTTCACATCCAGAGGTAAAGAACCTAAAGTCCATTGAGCTAGCATTCTTCCCATCATGTTTATCTTCCAAATTTATAGCTATGAAACAAGGTGTTATTAAAAGCCTTAAAATCAAATACAGACATTGCCTTATCAAAAAATTTTTAAGCTCTGTTGAAGGCAGCAAAGAATTTACATTCTCCCTACTAGACGCGGTTGATACTTTGCACCTTTGCTGGAGGGCTGTAACCCCCGAGACTATTGTTAAGAGCTATGAAGAGGCAGGATTCAAATCTCAAAAGGGAGAAAGTGACAAGACAAATGAAGAGGCAGACACTGGTCTTGATTTGGTTGCCCACGCTCAGGCAGCAGGCGTGGAATTTCCTGAAGGTTTATCTCTAGAAGAGTATGCTGCCCTTGATGATGATTTGGAGACCTGTGAAGCAGCACCAGAAGGTGATTCCATACAGACTGAAGAGAGTAAATCAGATGAAACTGGGCTTTATACTTCTGATGAAGAGGATGATGGTGGATCTCTAGGAACTGAACTCCCTTTACCATCAAAAAATGAAGCGATAACTGCTTTAGATACTCTTAAAAGTTTTCTTAGAAGTCAAGATATGAACGAGGAGCTTCATAATTCTTTAGCAGACCTTGAAATTTTTATTAACTCCTCATCTAAATAATTATCTGTGGTATAACATCTTTTCCTAATGTATTTTACTAGATAAAATATATGAAGGAAACTACCACTTAAACACAAAAAAATTTAAAACCTAGCAATCTTTGGTTTAATTGCAAATGTCTATGACCTGAATAGCTAAGTTGCCCTAGGTAGATTAAATAAAGAGTAAGTAAATGGAAAATATGAATTTCAATTTAGCAAGGTTTGGGGGAGTAGAAAATGTATTACAGAGGCCTTGTACTTAGAATATATGGTACATATGTCAAAAATAAAAGAAAAAAAACCTCTCCAGCTATTTGATTAATACAGGTTGAATTGGTGATTGCTATTTTCTCTTTTTTTTAAAGTGCAGATCATGTTCTAGAATATTTTAATTTATCTACCTCGTCTAGGAAATAAAATATCTATTACTTAGATATTTATTTTTATAAAGACATATTCTAGCCTTGTATCAAGTATTAATTTTAAATTACTTTATTTTTCTTGTAGCTAGGTTACCTTGCTAAGAGGAAATTATGAAAAAGTACTGAAAATAAAATCTGACCCAATTATATACCGAAATAATTAAAAATATGTCTTACTACTTTTCAGTTATTTCTTTATCAGGTCAAATGAAACACTATGACCTTATCAGTCTCTTTCTGTCATCTATAACCAGAAGATGATATAGTTTCTTCCTAAATATTTATATGTTTGTGTGTGCTTTTAATAGAAAAATACATTATTGAAACATTTGTTAAATTCTTATAATATATTTTAATGAAATTACTCTTGAAAAATATATATGAAGATAGATATGTAGTAACTAAAAAAGAAAATGTCTTATGTGGTTCTTATGTTTCTAATTTTAACAACTGAAACTTTTAATATATAATATTGAATTATTTCTTGATTTTACTGAATTTTATTTTCAGGAAAAACTGAGGGTCTTTTCAGCATATTTTGATATATTTAATCTTTTATTTTCTTTCAAATTGTACTAAATTTCTGTTTCAGGAAGTTTTGTCTGTAGAACATTTGAAAATATTGTATGAAATTATTTACTCTCCATCCATAAAATAGTCTTTAAAAGTAGAAAAATATCATGTGCCAGACTTTTTTGTTGTTAAATTTTAAAAGCCATGCTTATTTAATGTATTACATATAAATTAGAGTATCGTTTGAAAAGTATTTTGAAAAAGTATAAAATGTTATACAGATTATTTTTATTATGAATTATTAGTCTACCAATATAAGACACATTTGGAAGGATATATTTATAGAAAGTATTTTTATTTTCCACTGTTGATTTACTCTGCTTTTAAAATTTAGTAATAGACTTAAAAATATATTAAAATTAAGAAAATTTCTCATAGAGTGAAATATAGATTACTTAAGCTAATTGAAAACATTTTATTTAATGATTTGATTTAAATTTTAGCATGATTGGAATCATGGAACTAAATCATGGACCTTAATCTCTCTTAAGAGCCCTGGCTGTAACCAGAGTACCTTGCATATATCAAGCCTTCAACAGTTCTTTTCTCTCTCTTTCTCCACTTCATACCACTTAAATATCAAATGTTCTTATTTAATCATTCCAGATATTCTTTGACATAAGAATTATTATTATTTTTTAATTTTTTAATGTTTTATTTATTTCTGAGAGAGAGAGACAATGTGAGCAGGGGAGGGTCAGAGAGAGAGGAAGATACAGAATCTGAAACAGGCTTCAGGCTCTGAGCTAGCTGTCAGCACAGAGCCCGATGTGGAGCTCGAACCCATGAACCGTAAGATCATGACCTGAGCTGAAGTCAGACACTTAACTGACTGAGCCACCCAGGCGCCCCTGTGACATAAGAATTATTAGCTTCAGTTTTGGTAAGATGAGGACATTGAAACCTGAAAGGATAATTTGGTTAAAACCTCAGAACCAAACCCAAAATGCAGTAGTTCTCTATCACCTAGACCTATGTTCCTCTAACTATACACCACAGTGCTTCTCTTCCATACTTTTTAAAAGAAAATTCTGTTGCTCTTTTCCCTTTGAGTTTAGGGGCCCAAGGGTGAAATACTTCAGAGAATATGCTGGATCTATGTCGACAGTTCTGTTCCCAAGATCTCTCCTAAGAACACCGAGATAATGAAATGCTGAGACCTTGTGAGTGGGTAATCCTGTACCACTCTAACACAGAGGCTCCAAGGAAGTTCGAACAAAAATACTTGAAACAACTTTAATGTCCAAATGCTGAAAGTACCTACTGTTTTTCTCCTATATGATATGATTCATTGTTTTAATGTTTTTTGTTTTTTTTTTTTATTTCTGAGAGAGAGAGAGAGAGAGAGACAGTGTGAACAGGGGAGGATCAGCGAGAGAGGGAGACACAGAATCTGAAGACAGGCTGCAGGCTCTGAGCTAACTGTCAGCACAGAGCCCATCACAGGGCTTGAACCCACAAACCGTGAGATCATGACCTGAGCCAAAGTCGGACGCTTAACCAACTGAGCTACCCAGGTGCCCTGACATGATTCATTTTTTATGTCTGGGGCATAATACATCTAAAGGTGATATAGGAAGATAAGGCTCCCATGGAGAATTAGAAAAAGATGCCTGCATATTTAAATTTAAAGATAAACTTTAAGTTGTTAATGTTGTTTACTCTTCTGTTACAAGCTGTATAAATTTAAACAATTTTCAGAACAATTTTTTTTTAATGTTTATTTATGTTGAGAGAGAAACAGGGAGTGCAGACAAGCAGGCGAGGGGCAGAGAGAGAATCCCAAGCAGCCTCTGCACTGTCAGTGCAGAGTCCGACTCGGGGCTGGAACTCACCAACCATGAGATCATGACCTGAGCCGAAATCGAGAGTCAGGTGCTTAACTGATTGAGCCACCCAGGTGCCCTCAAAACAAAAATTTTTTTAATTTACTTTTCCTAGGACAATCACTGCGTATCTCACTCCTGATTTATCTTCTCCATACATAATCAGTACAAAGTTGGGACTAAATGTCACTAGTCTTTTCAGAGAATAACTTCATTTAGCAATTCACCTGCTTTTCAGGTAAATATAGTATTATTTTCATTGTTCTTTATAAATTTCTACTGTTGCAACAGTGCTTTTCCCCTCTGTCTGCTTCATCAAGCAACAAATCTTATATTGAATTTGGGACACTTTCACTTGTGAAGGGTTTGGTTTAGGATAAAGTAGGACAATAAGTAAACCAAGGCCTACGGGTTTTATGTTTCCTGCCTGGCTTCTCATCCGGACCAAAGATCAAGTGTAAAACCTCCCATTTACTGTATACAAAGCAAAATAATTGGTGGTGGGGAGGAAAATAGGGGAGGGAGAGTTGAAGGAGTGTTTCACCAGTAAACATCTCCAATATGAAGGGAAGTTCATGTCAGGTCGGTTTTTACTATCAAATGGGTTACAAAAAGGCCTTCAGATCCTGTTGTTTAAAACAAAAACAAAAGACTGAAAACTACATGAATGTTTGAGAGAAAGAGAGAGATCACACATAAGCAGGGGAGAGGGGCAGTGGGAGAGGGAGGGGAAGAGAGAGAGAGAGAGAGAGAGAGAATGAGAATCTTAAGCAGGCTCCACTCAGCACAGAGCCTGCCCTGGGGCTCTATCCCACAATCCCAGAATCATGACTTGAGCTGAAATCAAGAGTTGGACTCTCAAAGACTGAACCACCTAGGCACCCCTGAATGTTTTAAATAGAGAATTGGTTAAATACACATCACACTGAGTGAAATGTCAAGGTCTCAACTTTTTTTTTTTAATTTCCTTTACTTGCATGTATATGAAAGTTTGCTTGCCTGAACTGGATATTTCCTAAATTTGACTTGCAAATTCTGGACTGAATCTCCTATTCCTCTTATTCTCCTTATTGAACATCTTACCAGACTAGAAATTATTTTGCCAAGTGAAACAGGATCTATAGCATAGTATTGAATTGGTGAAAAACTAGACTTGCTGGTTTAACGTACCATAGATTACATATTCATCTTCATGCGTTAGCCTGATTTAAGTTCAAAGAAGTCAGCTTCTTCAGTCAGAGAACTCATAGTCAGTGTGTAGGGAAAAAATTGAAAGGATAGGGGCCCCTCCTCTCTCACTTCTACTTATTTTTTCTTAGTCATCAAATCCAACAAGATGATTTTTTTTAAGGTGGGGCTGTTGTATAATCCCTGTATATTCAGCTCCCCAACTTACCTATTAAATACAGACAGGCTATTGAGATACTAAATATTTGCTCAGTTGGAGAACTAAATGCAAAGTTACAGTTAATCTTGTTTCCTGAATTGGTAATTAAGATTGGGTTTTTGTTTTGTTTTCCCCTAACTTCCTCTTTGTATGCCACTGAACTCTCTTTGTAATGCAAAGTCACTGCCTGTGTTATTGGCTGATACCACGCCTTATTTTCTGTGTTGCAAAATAGGTAACCCAGCATACAGATAAGAGCCACTTTCCTGTCACTATCTGCCCTTGGTGAGGAACCATTTCCCAAAAAGATCTAGAATCGTATCTCTTAACTCTTGCAGAGATAATTACCCCACTCTAAAGTAAATATCTGAGAGAATTTCATATCATGATATGATAATGAACAGTTGATTACTAAATTGAATTAAACCAAACAAACTAGTTATGAAAAAAGGAGACAAAAGAAGTAATAGCAAGACTCAGACTTCTACAGCGCCTCTGCTAATTTCTTCCAATTATTGTAAAGTTAGCCAACAATAAACTTGGAAAAAAATCTCATGGATAATGCCACAAGGGAGTAATCATTAATTTGACATACTCTAATCTTAAATTTTTAAAGTACAGGAAAGTATATTCAATACAAATATCTAGCTACCAATTTACATAATTACTATTATGTTTACTTCAGATTACCATATATATCCTTTATTTCCTTAATTTATTCCTAAGTATTTTATAGTTTGGTTGCTACTGTAAATGGAATGTTTTCCTTTTAATTTTCTTATTACTACTAATATAGAAAAAGTGAATGTTTTTGGACTGTTGTATATCTAGTAACATTACCAAAGTTTCTTATTAATTCCAGTATATTTTCTAATCAGATCATTTCACTATCATTACAAACAAAGGTCACTTAATTTCTTTATACTAATTATTTTTCTTGTTCCTACCTGAAGGCCAGGAAATATTCCTCTGTATTTTCTTCTACTAGCTTACAAGTTTTGTCTTCATATTTAAATTTATTTTGTGATTGGTAGAGGCAAGGATTTAATTTTATTTTTCCTAAAGGGAGAGCCCCCTATATAATGACTAATTTACCCTTTTGTAATACCTTTGC